AGAGAGAGAGAGAGAGAGTGTGGTGTGTGTGTGTGGCCAGCTCAGCCCACCAGGGGGCGGGGCTGGCTGGCATGTGGTGCTGGGGGATCGAACCTCGGTCCCTGATGCTTTGCTAAGCTTGTTCTAAGTAGGTGCTTTAGACCACTGAGCTATCTCTCCAGCCCTACAATGCCTTGTTGAGAATTACTTTTTAAAAAGATTTATCCCATTTCATTTGCTTTTTTTTTTTTTTTTTTTTTTTTGGTGGAACCGGGGATTGAACTCAGGCCCTTGCACTTGCCAGGGAAGCACTTATTCTACTGAGCCATCTCCCTGGCCCCTCATTTGCCATTTTTTGGAAAAGGCATGAGTTTTTGTTCAGACCTGCGATCTAGTCCTGGGTTTGCCACTCACTGGCTGAGCAACTGTGGACAAGTTATTTTGTCTTTCTGTGTTCTCAGTTTTCTATAAAATGTTGCTTATAGTACCAGCCTTCCAGAATTGGGTACAAAGTACACATGCACATATAATGATGATTATGAGCAAATAATAACTGGGAAGGTATATCCCTTAATTATGTACTATAAATGTGTAACCAGATTTATAAAATAAAAATTGTGTATTTGTTTAAAAAATTCCTGCATAATTTAATTCCTCTCTGCTCCTCTGTGACCAAGTAAGTGTTCCTGTAGTTTTTAGTAGGTGGTATCACTGCCAGCGACGGGCACTATGTGTATATGTCTATCGAAGGCTGTTGAATATTAACCACAGTTAGGATATGAGTTGAACTTTAGAAGCTAGAAAGCTCAAAATCAGTGCTAGTCGTGGCGGTAGGGAGAGTATATTAGCTTGCATGGAATGTGTACGTGCCTAAAAAGAACAGCTATTACTTAGCACTTCCAGTGTGCCTAGATAAGGGATGTTGTTGAAGTTAATAGAAAGCACAGGTCAAAGACCTAAGCAGTAATAGCTACCAGACTTTTATTGGTTGTCTTCTACATGCTGAGTTCTGTGGCATGTGCCTTATAAACATTACTGTCTGTATCATTATGATAACCCCTATGGAATGTCTTATTTTTACAGGTGAGTAAATGGTTGGAACTTTTTAACTGGTCCAGGTCAAATAGCTAGTTAAATACCTTCAGACAGGAGTAAAACTAA